TTTTTTTGTTAGTTTTACGCAAGAAATAAATTCAAATACTGCCTTTGGCATTCTCCAAAAACCAGTGCAACGTAAATCATGTCGTAAATAGATTATACATCATACTTACTGGTAGCAAGGTCCTTCGTATACAAAGAACTCGCCTGGGTAGGTAATACCGCCATAACTAATCCTACCACAAAGCAGCACTGCTGTATTTCGGATTCAACGGTAGGGTAAACCAGCAGCAACTAAAGTACACGAGACTTTAAATACTTATAGCCGGCAATGCGTTTTTGATATTAGGAATACTTTCCAAGTAGGTAGACATCGCAAACAAAAGCCAAATAATTCAATCAATTTCAACAAAATTTTACATACCTTCTTACGCTTTGTCATGGAGATGGAATATAACAAGTAATATTTTAACGTTCTGGTGCGGACAAAGAGACAAACGCTAGTCATCCAATAATGTATCAAAGAAACTATAGACGGCACAGCACAAATAGTCAGCTCCATTCGAATTCACGTCAAGTCGTCGTATTTGTAATTCAACACGGGGTCCCAGTACGCACTCGATGTATTGTTTCACCTACCGACTTAAGGGAACGCCTTTTGTTCCTCTGTCATATACGAACGTTGATTGGGAGTTAAGTTTAAGACATGTAATTGGGTATTTACGAGGTTCTTGGAAGATCCTGAATGGCCGAGTTGAAAGTGACTCAAAACAAGATCAAACACAAAACATACTATATATTTTAAATATTTATAAATATTGAAAAAACTTACTAACAATAATACAAAATAGATTGGTTTCACGATCTTTAGTTTTCATTTCAATTCTATGCGAGATTAACCAAAAGTTATATCACCTACAAAGTTCGAGGTTCAATTTATTACTTACGCGAGTAAAACAATTAAAACTACGTGGTCGTTAAAGTAATAGGCTATAATCATCTCAAGCCGTCTTTTGAGCAAATTTGATTACCAACCGATCTATCGGAAAGCTGTTACAGAAACTCAAATTACGTTCCATACCAATTTAGGGCCGAGTTTAATATCGTCTAGTACAAGCCGCACAAACCGCTGTTGAGATGACGAGCGTGGGACACCGAAGTCCGAGGAGCAGAGGAGCTGCTCTTCATTAAGAGGCGAATGCCGGTGGGGGACGAAGCGAGGCGATGGCTTTATGGGACAATTTGCATTTACACGAGCCCAAGCACAGATTACGCCCGCACTTATCCTCCTGCCGAAATGAGGCGCTCGCTCGCTACCCTCGCTACAATCTACAACCAAACAAGCCTTTGTTTATATTCCGTTGAATTTTTCACCCGCCATTTGTTTTGACGGGCCATTCCTAAAACATGAACGTTTTCAACCCAAAAATGCTTTACTACGGGTTTTCAACGGGAGTATTTGATTTTACTTTCGAGGTCATTTTTTTATTATCTACCTTTCCATTTGGTTGTGTACTCGGTGGTTCACAAAGCCTTCATGAATATCAAAAGCTAAATGTATCTTTATTATATAGATGCAAATGTTTGAAAACTTGATTTCGCTTCATCGATAGGTTTTAGTTAACGCTAAATTAAAATGAAGTGTTCCTGTGTCTGTGATATGCTTATTTGCTGTCCGTCGGTATTTGAAACACAAAATGGGTGGATTGTACTATTAACCACCAAACAAAGAGCTTATATGGACAATGTGCGCAAAATGATTGTCGTGCTAAACACGAGCACAAAGCGGATAAGAGAACTGCGAGGTTCTCGTATGCATAGTAGAGTAAACCGATGTTAAATCCCTACTGACCTATTTTCGGATAACCACCTTTGAGTCGGTCTGATAAAGCATATCGATGCTGGAACGTAATGTGTGACCGGCAGTCGAAGCTTCAATTTAGAGCCCGCATGAACCTAAAGAAGACCAGTTAGGTTCGCGGAACAACGAGATGCTTCAAAGTAGAACGACGTGCTTGCCAGAATGCCTGTTTTGATATAAGTATAGGCCGTATTACTATAAACATTCATTGCTTACAATAGCCTATAAAAATTTACTGTTCAGGATTGCATTTCACTCTTATAGTTTTGCCCGATATCAAAAAAGATAGATGTCTTCTCTGTAGAGCTCTTCGTAACTTAAATGTGGCCGCCACTACCGAACTATAAGAATATAAAATAAAGTAGACCAATATTATAAGGGACAATACAGTCCTTGTAATACCATAACCAAAAAAAGAGTTGTTTAGAGGCATAAATATTCATTGGAGAAGACACAACCCTACTTGCCGGGCTGTCGCCGCCGAACGTAGGTACGCCGATACGATACCCTTAATCAAGGAAATTGCAAAGTAATAGAACCCAACTAAAATTTGTATGATAATGAAACTGGGCAGTTTACCGAGTTTCCACGGTGATTTGACGTCGTTAACTCAACGTAACCATACACTGGAGTTGACAGGAAGAAATAAAGTTACCTAATAACGGTTATATAGTTTTATAATGGTAATATTTCTAAATGTCTTCTATGTATGGCGTGTGGTTCTTTCTAGAATAACAGTGTTTTGTAAATGTGCTTCCAATGACATTTAGGGTTGAAATATCCTACATCATAATAGGACACTGACCGCAAGGGTAGCTGTTTAATAACCGTTTGATCTCCTGTTTTCATATTTTTTCTGACATCTTGGTAACGGCCAGAAAATTTTACAGCTCATTTTCCTTTAGAGTTTACACATTTCTCATTTTACATAATTTCAATTTCTTCTCAGATAGAGACGTATTTGTCCCCGAATTCAGTGAAAATCGCGAAATACCCCGGCTACATTCACGTCGATCATTTGCCTTGATCATTTGAAGTCAGCCACTCGTATGATTGACACATTGGAAATACGAATCGCTCAAACACACCGCTTTAAATCTGTCCAAAGGAAGTGTCATTGAAAAATGATTGGTCATATTTCATTGCCGGACTCCGGACATTGTCATAGCGAGGCTAAACATGAGTGCAGTTGACAGACGTTTGTTTCGAAGAATTATATTTTTTGATATGTGGTAGAGGGTTGAAAAGGATCTGTTTGATGGTTAACTGCAATTTATTTTAAAGCAATATAGTAAAACATATTTTAATTTCAACAAGAAAGGTGGTTTCTCCGTACCAGTTTGGGATCCAGTATTTCCTCTGATGAAAAATTCCAAGCAGACAAATACTGTATGTACTATTTAACATGTCTTAATTTAAATTTATTTCTAATTTCCATTACTAAGCAATAATAAATATTATTTAATAAAAATCGTATTGTTACAAGAAAATAATATGCAAAAACATAATATGCAGCGTAAGTTGGAATATTCTTTGGAAAATTTTAAATATTTAATTAATAACTTTGCAACTATAAAATAATAGCACCCTATTTTTGTCGCTTATTGTTATTGCTTTAATATTTTACGGAACTGCTTGATGACTATACACTGGTTAATCATACGACCTGTAAAGGACCCGAAACGTTTGTTTGTCTGAATAAACAAATATATGAGATTTAGATCCGAAAAATAGTTTGATTTCCTAAATATAGTAAAAATCTGATTATGCACAGTGCATACTCGTGCATGTCTACAAGAACGAAATCAGACCAAATCAATATACACATGTAAAATGGTATAAATGTCTATTACTGAATAATACGTAAATATTTGAATTAGTTCCTTCTGGTGTTCACAGAAGACGCCGCGCTTTAGCAATTTATCTTAAAGCCCCCTCTTGTAAATACAACATCCAATACTTTTGTAAATAAAATATGACAGAAACTAAATTTCACATTACTAACATTGTACATCGAACAGACTGCCACGCAGAGGTCCTGCCTTCGATTCCCAGGCCGAGAGAAATATTTGTATGGCTTACATTTATTTCTCTCGTACCCTTGGATGTCATTTGTGGTTGTTCATGTGTATGTACATGGCACCCCGACACAGAGTTTCCTTAGTTAGTGCTGGACTATAAGTACATACATTATTTGTTTATTTATACCTTACAATTGTCTAAAACACTGTACTGTTTAAACCTAAATACTAAATAATAACGCACACACTCAACATAGCCCCGCACTAGGGAAACCTTGTGTCGCGGGTGCCATGGACACACATATAGACAACCACAAATTACATCCAAACTCACGAGAGAAATAATTGTAGGCCATACAACTATTTCTACCGGCCCGGGAATCGAACCTGGGACCTCTGCGTGGCAGTCCGGCATGGTAACCGTTAGGCCACAGAGGCAGTTAATATTACAACTAGAGTCCGTTTCACTTTATACTAATAAGTATGCCATGCTTTGTTTAAACTTGAGACTATCAATTGAAAGTTGTGCAATATACATGGTGAATAACAAAAGCCTAAGCTTCACGCAGTAGTTGTAATAAACGTGAAAACTATACTCGAAATTCTACGCAATATGAAAACTACAGATATTGACGTTTTGCTCATTACGAGATGGTAGAGTGAACAACGTGATATATGAGTGAACACTGGTAACAAACTGTTGCAGTCTGGATACGAAACAGTTTTTCAATCTCGCTACAAATGGTGCAACATTTACAAAGCTTACAGCTTAGAGAGGGAACATCGCAAATGGCCCGGGCACAGGTGTTGCTTTATTGAAAAAAAGATACAAATTACCCTTTTCTTTAGGATGTGATTGCGGATTCATGTTAGCAGGTGAACTCAACAAACATCGTTTACACAACAATCTTAATGGGTTGGAATCCCATAATTTGAACAGTGGAAACATTCGTCGGTGTCTACTCAGATGTAAGCCTACTGCAATTTGTAAGATAAATTCATGCCTATTAAGGTTGAAGTGAACGGCGTGTCTGTTACTATCAAGTCCACTGGATTGGCGTAAGGTAGACAAACCATGGTGTGGCGCTCAGCATACAATAGAGCCTTTTGACTGCATACTGCTGCCAGTTCTCTTTGAGGCTCTACAGTACATATAACGTAATGCAATCATAATAGCCTTACCCAAGTGCAGCCAATTGCTTGATGTTATAACGTCCCGTTACACGGAATCATGAGCTCCAATTGTATTCAAACTGCACTCCGCATAATCTGAAACAAGGGAAATTTCCTTGAGAAACGACATTTTTTTTAAAGAAAGAATGATAAAATCTATATACCTGAGTTCATGAACGATCATGAAACAAATTACTGTCCTATATTTGTAACATATTAAACCCACAAAGTTTATTATCTCTTTGAATAACTGTTACGGCCATTATAAAGCATCGATAAAGGAGATTCTCCCTTAGGGCCCTATAAAAACAGACCTTCATAAACAAGCAATATCTCTTTTATAGATCCTCATAATTCGTTTTTCTTCTCATTTTCCCCGAAAGCAGATATGGCAGGAAAACACGAATGTTTGCTTTATAAAAATATTATTGTTTGTTTTAAATTAATTGTAATAGAAAGATATAACAACAGACACCAATTCAAGATAAAAATACGGAAACTTTTTTCTTGAGAAGACATTTAACTTTCGACAGAGAACAAAAATAAATCGCTTCGGAGTACTTTATTTGACAAAGGTCAAAGCGCACTCTTTAGACTAATGCCGCTTTGACTCAACTGTAAAACTTTGCGTGCGATCCGAATTTCAAAACAGAAGGCGCAGAAAAGTCAATTCACATGTGGCGCAGGTGTCCCGGGCAACTCGTCTAATCAAGCGGAAATGTGTGCTTGGACGGTCGGGCTCACCGGACTGATTCGAAACTAACACCCGTCTGACCGGCCGACCCGGTCGCGTGCCGCCTCACCTGAGTGCTATGATTCCTCCAGCTGACGAAATTTGAATATACTCCATGGTCCAGACTTATCTTTCTAAAGAAGCGAATAAACACGCGCTTGATTCACTTTTTTTTCACAATCAACACACTTCGCCCAGCGTTATTAACTGCGCTCTATAGTTAAATGCAGATAACTCCAAACAAGACCGGCGATAATAAAAGCCATGAACATTCTTACAATCAATTTAACAGTCGTTACATCATAACAGAATTAATGTGGTGGGTCAAACAAAGGGCCAGAGCCACCTAGCTTATCTCGGAGAAAGCGTCCATCCGTCGGTCCGCGAGCCAAGCACGAGCTGAAGACCGGATAACAGAGTGAGTGTTCTCTTGTTTTCATTACGGTTAAGCGCGACTCGTTACAACGAAGATCTCCGTAAACCTTTTGACATTTCGCTAAAAGGTTCATTTCGGTTTATTAATGTTGTAATTCTTTGAGTTGGTACAAAAAAAGACACTCGAAACATTTATACGGTGACGGCTCGTGAGCGGGAGAAAAATGGGATGAATTTATCTGAGCCGTGGATCGTAGCAGAGCAGCCGACAGGCATCTATTTCAATACAAACTGCTCTTAAAGGAATGGACGGGTTCACAAGAAACCAAAGTAAATGCTTCATTTTACTCTTCTAAATATTAAAAAGAATTGATTGGCTTAAACTGTTTTTGTAAGTGTAAACAAAATAATCCTTATAACATTATACCTAAGTTTCCAAAAACTGATTGACTGAAACTGGCGTAAATTTAATTACAAACATGGATAATTAAAGCCCAAATACAAAGAAGATTGACAGGTTCTCATTCTGCATGCAGGCAAAGGTTCCAGAGGCCGACCACCCTCATATGTTACACGTTTAATTGCGTTAGGATAATGTGCGGCGCTTGTTACAACTGTTCGATCGATCGAACGTTAGATAGGAGCATGTTGGGGGACCAGCGGGGCTTCATATGTCTTTATTACCCAATAACAATGGTCAACGCACTGCGGGAGGGTTGCTTTGAATGATAGCCAAATTGAAATATTACCACGACTAAACGTTTCGGGAAATGAAAATTTCTTCCCCATCGCTGGTCACTTACTCGGGGTCGTAAAGTCACCCACATACAAGCCTTTTATTTCAAGTTAAATAATGGACCTATGAAAATACACATCCAACACTGAAATATGAGTTTTATAATTGCAGTTCAAAATCAACACAAATATAGTCAACCTATACGAAAGAATTCACTACGTTAATATTAATGAAGTTTGCGCTACAAACCTAAACAGAAGCACCTGCCACAAAAGCGGCCGTCAGGCGCGAGCTAACAATTCAGCTCATTAGTGCTGAGAATTTCCTTTGCATAACTAGAAAAAAACGCAGATTAATTCCAGTTTTACTTGTATAATTTTTTCCTTGCGCGTTAACGAGGTAACTCGACTAACTCGCCGGACCTAACAAAGTTACCGATGCAACGGCTTAAGCCAGAAGGCTTTCAAAATGTACTCGGTCCTCAGGTTGCTTAATTTTCTTTTCAAACTCTTTAAATTTTCCATCGCCTTTGAGATTCGCGTCTCAAGGCGTACTAAGAAATCTAGCACAGATTTCGCTCTCTAGCGAAGATAGTGATGGAGTTTAGGAGCGAATTAACTACTTTTTAAGTTTATTTTCACCGGTAGATATAAATATTGAGTGTCTTGACGATGAAATCTTTTTATTGCATTGTATATTCACAGATTTATTCTTAGTTGATGTCAAGTGTTTTGTAATACGTGGGCCGGCGATAAGTTTTGTGTGGGAGTTTATTTATTCATTTGGTATTGGTCAGATTGAAGCGCAGGCGGTGTCTAGAGCAGTTTCTATGTAGAATAGGCAGTTTTTCACCGATTATATCTCGTTGCCCACGGTTTATAGATAGTTTTATTTCTATTTATTTTAAAAGGATTGGAGATCCTCAATTTATGGTTTTTATCTAATCGTGTTTCTATAATCAAAATGCATGTGGGTGAAGAATGTTATTATTACTCATTATTGTCTTGCAAAATTGACTCGTCAGACAACTATTAAACGAAAAAGTAATATGTTATGTTGTCTAAATCAAATTACAGGTAGGCACTTAAGCAGAAAAAACAAATGACGCAAACATTAAATGTCGACATACGGTAGAAGATTTGTGTGTGACTTTTGAGTGATTAAAATTTTTGTAATTAATCTAGCCATAGCAAAGCCACGGGCGGTCTGGACCTCAATAAAATAAAACCAGTCGCTCGACCACTGACCACAAAAAAGAACTAGAGTGACTCGCCACAGTACAGACATCAAAACATCAGGGTTTGTTCTGAGAAAACAAAACGAGAAATGGATTCTACGAACTACTTAAAACAGTATAATAACTCTAAGGAGTGAGACGTCACAGCAACTCTAAACGAAAAGTACCTACTCATAGTTTCTTTGTTCTAGAAGAAAATAAATAAGTTTTACAGACTTATGAAATGTGAAAGTACATTATGTTTACATTTTTAAACAATTTTATGACAGCAAATCACGTGAAAACGGACAGTCTACCAGATGGAAAATGCTATACCGCGGCTTATCGACGTCTGAGATAATAAGCAAGAATCCTTAACATCTTATATATCGATCCCACCCACCTAAAATGTCAAAATCCCAAATCCACAACTCTACAGAGAGACTATTTAATGTATTGAAAGAACTAAAATGATTGTCAAGGCATTTCAATGGAATTTGATACATACACATTAATTTGCATGCTTTACAATTTTAATATTGAGTATGTAATATACCTACACAAAAATATAGTGATTAATGGAAAAAAATACCTATCTCCGTCGCTTATTATCTATAATTACGTAGGAGGAATCGATATTTTGCTGGTTTTGGAATATAACATTTCGAGTCTCCTGTGACTGTTTTTTCTAATTTTAGTAGATATATTAAGGCTGCTAAGAGATTGACTTTAAGTCGTAATCAACTTCACGCATTACCTGCATGAAATCGATCTCGACTGCATAAAGTCGGTTTTGACTCCATGCAGTTAATGCGTGAAGTCGGTATCAACTTCATGCAGTCGAAATCTCGGATAAAGACTTCACGCATTAACTGCATGAAGTCGAGATCCACAGCATGCAATTAATGCATGAAGGAAGTCCTTATCAACTTCACGCATTAACTTCAAACGTGCAATCAATCTGCTAGCAGCCTTACAAAGACCGATGACACCAACCCAGACAGGTTCTGCGATATCTACCAATAAATTATATCTACAATTAGAAATGTGTCACAACTTACTAATAACCATATTTATAAAAGTTTTTTTATTTAAGATATATCTCTACACATTTATATTGCAAAGACTAATTATACGACTTCACTTGACTGTGACCTCCATTATCCAGAGCATCCTTACTAATACATTACTTACTCCTTTACAATTATATATATCTATCACCTAATAACACTGAGGCTATATAATTACACAGTATACTGACTTCAGACAGAACCTGTTATTAAAGATCTGTTAACCAACAGGTGATATTCAGATGTAGTAATTTGATTCACAAGATTAAAATTAAAGAAATGCCAGCTGCTGTTAACTACTCGGACAAAGTTAGATTGACAGGGGATTTCTGTTTATTTAGTGAAGTGTATAAAACAAGTTTTTTTTTTTAAAGTATGTGATGATATCACTTCTTCGGTTGGATTGGCTTAGTTGTGTTCTGCATTGAAGGTTACCTAAATAGTTTCTTACTAATAGACCTAAAGAAAATTTACGAAAATCTATATTTATATCACATAGATATTTGTAATCGCACTATTCCTGCCGACAAGCAGAAATGTGAGCATTACTGCGCTCCGATTTTGGAAGGTAAGGGTGCTGGTGAAATTCCAGACACATGAGACTTAGCAACTTATGTCTCAGGGTGACAGGCGCAGCGACAGTGCAACTGCCATGGACAGTCGTGTCGCTTAACAAGAAGCGCACTGCTAGTTCGCCCCTCACTTGGTACCATTAAAACAAAAAATAATAATATTAATATTATAATAATTAATAACTATTTTTATATATAATTGAAATTTGAGCACAATACGAATTTGTTAGCAATTACGTAGGCTGGTTTGTATTACAAAGTACCTATAGAAAAAAATCTAGCGATAGATAAGAGAATTGTGATTGCAGATAGCGATTACCAGCATACCAGCAAAGCGTTACGACTTGTCAACTATAGTATAACTACTTTTCGACGTGGAATATCATTGTGTTAT